CACACGTATGTTTGTTGCAGCTCTATTCACAGTAGCAAAAATATGAAACAAACCGTGTTGCCCATCGAAGCTGAACTGGATTAAAAAATGTGGTACATATACACGATGGAATATTATGCAATCATAAAGAAGGACAAATATATGGACTTTGCAGCAACTTGGATGGATTTGGAGTTGATCATACTCAGTGATTTATTGCAGAAACAAAGAACAGAGTTCCATATGTTCTCACTCATAAATGGACCTTGAACAATTATAATGCTATAAGAAAGCAATTGGCAGTAGTGGGAAACTGTCGGGGGAAGGGGTGGAACTGGCAGTTGAGGGAAACTGCCAGGAGAGGGAGAGGCATACCTCATCAACAAGGGTACCTGCATGATCAATGTTTGTATACCTAACCCTGAAATGTACCCCACATCTTTATACTAAAAATTTTTTAAAAACCAGGGTTTTCATTGATTTGATTCACAATGATCAGTGAATAGCACCAGGCCTTAAATTGTTGATCTTTGCATAAATACAATATTTATTTATGTATTTGAGTTGGAGTCTCACTGTCACCCAGCCTGGAGTGCAGTGGCATGCTCACGGCCACTGCATCCGCGACCTGCTGGGCTCAGGTGATCCTTTCACCTCAGCCTTCCACATAGCTGGAACCACAGGTGTGAACCACCATGCCTGATTAATTATTTGATTTATTGTAGAGACGAGGGCTAACCAAGGTGCCCGGGCTTGTCTCAAACCCCTGGGCTCAGTAATCTTCTCACCTCCATCCCCCAAAGTGCTGGGATTATATGTGTGAGCCACTGCACCCGGCTAATACAGTGATTTTTTTTTTTTTTTGAGTTGGAGTCTCACTCTGTCGCCCAGACTGGAGTGCAGTGGCCGCTCCCGGCCACCGCAGCCTCGCCTGCTGGGCTCCGGCGATCCTTCCGCCTCAGCCTTCCGAGTAGCCGGAATTACAGGCGCGCGCTACCGTGCCCGGCTGATTTTTTTATTTATTGTAGAGATGAGGTCTCGCTGCCCAGGCGGGTCTCGAACCCGCGGGCTCAGGCAATCCCCTCACCTCAGCCTCCCAAAGGCGCGGGATTACAGGCTGAGCCACCGAGCCCGGCATAATACAGTGATTTTTAAATAACACTTTTGCATTGCTGCTGAATATCTATAATTGTGAATGGTTAAGGGGTGCTACTTTGCCAGTGTTATGGATTAAAAATAATGTGGCCTGCAAAATATGAAACTGTACTTAGGTTAGCTATTGAAAGAAAAGTGGACACACCAAAATGTGTACATCTTCAAAAATGAATCGTAGTGATGATGGTTGCACGATGTGAATATATGTAATGCCACTGAACTGTAATCTTAAAAATGATTAAAATGTACTGGGCTTAGTGGCTGAGCCTGTAATCTCTGCAATTTGGGAGGCTGAGGTCAGTGGATTGCCTGAGCCTGCAGGTTCTAGACCAGCCTGGGCAACTCGGGGAGACCTTGCCTCTACAATAAATCCAAAATTAGCCAGGCATGGTAGTGCATGCCTGTGGTTCTGACTACTCGGGAAGCAGAGGCAGAAGGATCACTGGAGTCCAGTGTGTCGTCGCCGGGGTGGCTGTGAGCATGCCACTGCCCTCCAGCTTGGGAGAGGGAGAAAGACTCCAACTTAAAAAAAAAAAGATTAAAATGGTAACGTTTATATTATGTATATTTTACCACAATAAAAAAAATGACTCTGTCTAATGTCCACATCAAATGAACCCTGGGAATAATGTTGGAATCTCTGATGCTTAGTTAAGAGAACAAAAAGAAATAATATAACCCCTTGGCACATTCAAGTTGTTATAATGGTAGTTGAGAAATACATCATATGAACATATAGTGGCATAAAGATACTCTATAATAGCAATGATAAGACAAATTATGAAACAAGGAACATGGGGAACAACATTTTGGGACAGTAAAAGTACTAAAACAAATTTAAAAATGATGAGTAGGTCAATAAGAGTTGGAGGGCAGTTAATGTAGAACACAGAGCTGATCTGTGGTCATATGTCAAGCAGAAGCCTGTGAAAGTAAGAAACAGTGGTTTCCAAATGAAGCAGTAACTAAAACTGGCTAATGAAGATTATGTGAGCAGAAGGAGTCAAGCCATAAAATAGTTAGAAGGTGATCTATCAATACAAAATTGGTGAAATATTGCACTGCCATTGAAAATAAATGCTTTGTTAATTTTTAGAAGGATGGGGTGTCTAAAATTGTAAAATTTATCTCCTGTTTAGTGGGGTGAGGAATGCAGATTTTTTGTCATATTCTGCAATTATCTATTTTTAAAATTAAAAAAAAAAATTTTAATTTTTGAGTTGGCGTCTCACTCTGTCACCCAGGCTGGAGTGCAGTGGCACGCTCATGGCTACTGCAGCCTCCACCTGCTGGGCTCAGGTGATCCTTCCACTTTAGTTTTCCAAGTAGCTGGAACTACAGGCGCACACTACCATGCCTGGCTTATTTTTTGATTTACTGTAGAGATGAGGTCTCACCAGGTTGCCCAGGCTGGCCTTGAACCCCTAAGCTCAGGCAATCCTCTCACCTCGGTCTTCCAAAGTGCTGGGATTACAGGCTTGAACCACCGCACCTGGCCCAATTATCTATTTTGAAAAAATGATTCTCTTTTCATTAACCATTCTGTCACTTGGAAGCAATTCATGTTCTAAAAATGCCTGCAAGTTTTTTTTCATATTATTATAAAAATTTATGTAAAGTGAAAAAACACTGAAATTGTAATATATATCATTAATGGAAATACATACATATATATATATCAAAACGTAGAAAAAGCAATTAGACCTTACAGCAGACTACTTAACATAATAACTGATATTACACTTCAACAACAGGGCTGTGGGAGGGAGAGAGGGGTAATAGAGGCGATAGGCCTTTGCTATATCTGTTACCTGCAATTTTAATGCACAGAATCAGACCATATATCATGGGACCACCATATATAGCCATAAAAATAATAATAGCAGCTAATACTTACTGAATGCATTCTGTATGTTCAGTATTGTGCTATGCATAAGTACATTACCTGTTTTATTTTATTTAGTCTTCACATTTCTCCACGGAGGTATTTGCTCCTGTTATTACCTCATTTTTCAGAAGAAAGTGAGGGTAACGAACTCCAAACTTATTGAAATATAGCCGGCAAATGGCAAAACAGAACAAGGGGACTCACCGATGAGCCTAGCCATTTACCACCTCTCCCCATCTAACCTTTTCGATCTTCAGGTTGTTCTTTTGTCATTTTAAATTCCTACTCTAGGTTGCCCCTGTACTTGTTTTTGCCTCATTTCAAAAGCATAGTTTTTGTTTCTGAGAGAAAGGGACCAGGTGAACACACAATATGGATTTGCTTCAGAGCCTGGATCCATGAAGAGATGCACTACTGGTTGCCCTTCAGCTGGCAAGCACCTCTCGGTTCCACCTGTTTGAACCTAACTCCAGGTAGCGTGGAAGAGAGATGGAAATGGACATTATAGCACTTCTGGTGTCATGTGCTGAACACTAGCTTTTCTTATTTATTTTTCACAATAACTCTATGAAGTGGAGAAACTATTATGGTAACCCCATCAGACTAATATGGTTCAACTTTTATGTGACAAAGTTGTGAGTTGGTTTTCAGTTGCCCTGGACCCCTAGGTTGAAGGTCACATAAATTGAGTATGCCCAGATGAACCAATTAGGCAACCTAAGTGCTTGGACTGAGGAGTAGGGACTGGATTAAGAAGCAGGCACCACACGACAAGATCTAGAATCCAATCAGATTGCACTCTGACACCACCCGTGGCAGGATCCAGTCAGACCATGCCTAGATCATCATCTCATTGCAAGATTCAATCAGATCATGCCTCATTACCCTGTGTTTGCAAAACCTGACCCAAACCCCAGCTCAGAAAGACACTGCTTTGGTAACTAACTATCCCAGGTATTCTTCTTTTTACAAGTAATAAAATCCCCTTACTAACACCTCCTTAGTTGTGGTCATTAGGTTGATAACTGCCAAGCGACCAAACCCAGCTGTTGTGTGAGTAACATCATCTCTATTTTATAAATGAGAAAACTAACATGAAAATTTCAGTGAATTTTCAGGTCATACAGCTAGTGGATCAGAATTCCATCCTCAGTTGCTCTGCTTCCATAGCCTCTGCTCTTTCCAAAGACCTGCTGTCTCCTTAAAGAGCTAAATTAGGCTTGCTAGAAGGCTCCCCCAAATTGTTTGATAAGATTGCATAGAACAGCACCTGCTAGATTATAAATCTGTCCTAGCTGGAAAGCAAAGCCTCTCCTTCTGTGATCTGCTCGAATGACCTCTCTCAGAGGTGAATCTTAATGATTTGGATATCACGGTTTGGAGCAAATGTTGCTCCAGCCTTCTACTGAACTATAAACCCTGAGTATGACTCCACCTTTCAAATGTACATCTCAGCCTCCCTTGCTAAACAGCTTCCAGAGACTCATTTGTGTCAGCAATTACCAGCATCTGGACAGTGAGCCTTCCGCGACTACTGCCTCCCTTGATCCCAGTATATAAGGTAGGATCCTTTGTTATGTGCTCTCACAGAACACCGTACCTTCAGAGTACTTATATTAGTATGTAATTATATATTCATTAAAGCAATCACTTACTTAATGTTTACAACCAGCTTGTAAGCTCAGTGAAGGTAAGGTCAGTGCCTATCTTCTGTATCCCAGCACCTAGAATAGTACTCAATAAGCATTTATTGAATGAGTGAATGCTTTTCCATCAAAGAATTAGATAGTTGCTTATCTGGACATAAAGAAAATATGCAGAGACTTTCTGTGCCTTGGATAAATGGGCCTAACTGTGAGGCCTGTCTAACCATTTGTTTGTTAGAGGGCTGAGTGGTAGTAAAATGCTGACTCTGGCTTTGCTGTCTTGGACTCTGAGGCCTTAAGCATCCCTGAAAGCAGAGATGAGCTCAGCTTACCTCTTTCTGGTGGTATTTGATTGCCACCTTCAGCTTGGCCAGGTCGTGGTATTTCTGAGGATCAAGCTCTTCACTGTGGTCATCTCTATGGTTGAGAATGATTTCCAGTTCCCGGGAGCTCCGAGCTTGGTCCAGCAGGTCTTTGGCGAAGAGCTTGCACTGCTGAGAGAGCTCCTCATACTCGGCCTTGAACTCATTCTCCACTTTGCTGAGCTCCTTGAGCTCCCAGCCCAGTCGGAAGGCAGTCAGGATGGGGTCCTCGCTTGATAAAGCAATGAGTGAGGGACTTGCCAGAGCCTTATAGATGTTCAGTCGGGAGCGAGAGTGGCGTAAGCTGTCTACCTCTGAACTAGACACACATTCCACACAGTTGCAGCGGATCTGGTGTGGCCGTGGTATAGTGACTCGTTTTTGGACAAGCAATTTGATGATCTCATAGTTGTTGGTGTGGGCAGCCAGCATGATGGGAGTGATGTCCGGTGTGAACTCAGAGAACTGGGTGTCCATCATCAGAGTAGGGACCTAGGTACAAGAAATGAGAAACATAGAAGGGCAAAGTAAAAGTTTGGAGAGAGAAGAAGCATAGTGCCTATCAAATGTTGGTAATTTCAGAAATTAGAGTCTCCATTCTCTTGTCAATTCTCCTTACCTCTTAAACCTCTTTCCTTATAGCTAACGTTGGTGGAATTGTAACTGTACCAGAGAAATCTGGCTCTACTTTTATGGAACAAAGTTGTGAGTTGTTTTTTAGTTGCCATGGAACCCCAGGTTAAAGGTCAGGTAACCTGAGCATGCTCAGATAAATCAAGTGGGCAACCATCTGGGAAATTTAAGTGCTCAGACCAAGGAGGAAAGACAGAATTTAGAAGTGGACACTGCATGGCAGAATCCAAGATTCAATCAGTTTGAGTTCTGTCATCACCCCATGGCAGGATCCAATCAGATCGAACTTTGGTATCACCCCATGCCAGGATCCAATCAGATCATGCCTCCCAGCATCACCTCATTGCAAGATCCAAACAGATCGTGCCTCATTATCCTATGCTAATAAAAGCCAATCCAAACTCCAACTCCGGTAGAACAGATTTGAGTTTTTCCTTCTGTTTCCTTGTCAGTCAACTTGAAATAAAGCTTTTCTTTTCTTGAAATCTGGTGCCATGGTATTGGCCTCTATGCACACTGGGCAGAGAGCCCATTGACTGCTCAGTAACAGAATGCTTGTTGTGTGTCAGGTATTCTTCTAAGCACTTGGTATATCTTTACTCATTTAATATCTACAGCAACTGTGTGAGGTAAATATTCTCCAGATATGAAGAAGCTGAGACACACAGAGGTTAAACAATATACCTAAGGTCACACAGTTTTTACTAGCAGAGCCAAGATTCAATCTTGGGCAATATGGCTCTAGGTCTTGGCACTTAAATTATGCAAGGACAATACGCCCAATTTTGACTGAGATGTGATGGGGGATATTAGAGAAGTAAAGAGTGTTTTTGCTGATCTTATGGAACGTAGTTGGGTAGATCAAACTTACATAAAATTGGTAATAGTACATAGTAGCATCTGCTCAGTTCCAAATGAACAGTAAAGAGTACAGGAATATTTATTTGAAAGGCTAATGACAACCAGTAATCTGGAAGACTGTGTCACTAAATTAAACCCTGGTGTCGAAAGAAAAGACACCCTCAAATGGTTACAATGATTTTGTAAGTATATGGGATTTCAGGGGACGGAGACCAAGGCCAGATAGGATTTATCCAACTTCTTGTAGGTTCTGGGAAGGTAGAGAGAATTTGTTGTTATCAAAAGGAAGTACTATGCAAATGAGGACTTCTAGGCTTAGGGAGGAGTTACTAACAGCAAAAGGACCTTCAATAAACCTGCTATGTCCTCGGTGTAATGTATGGTGTAAATAACAGCTAAAGGTGAAAGGTATGGGGGGTTATTTGGGTATTCAGGAGCACTTCTGGGTGAGCACAGAACCTGGTTAATGAATTAGAAAAAAATCTTTGAAATTTAAAATGTGTCTTTAGGGACCCTGACTGTTCTCTGTCTAGTAGGGAAAACTGAGGCAGCTCCCGAGATTCACAGAAACATCTAAATGTGGTAGGATCTAGAAGTAGAGAATGGAGAGGGCTAGCATAGTCAGAGGAAGCTTTATGGAGGAATGGAGCTGAGTATTCAAAGCATGAATAGGATTCCAGAAGACTGGGAAACACTGATCTTATTACACTTTAGGAAATGAGAAGAAAACTAGTTCCAATTACTCACTTTAACTGGAAAGAACAGAACATGGGTAATTGAGAATGTTACAGAATAGATAAATAGTGTTTTAATCAACAGTTTCTAATTGACATTGTCACAGAATAGACAAAGAGTGTTTTAATCAACAGTTTCTAATTGAGATTGTCACAGAATAGACAAATAGTGTTTTAATCAATAGTTTCTTTTTACTCTCAAACTTCTTTTTAAAAAATAATAAAACAACCCACAGTTGCCGGCAAACTGACAAAAGGATGAGTTACTGTTTTTCAACATCTTTGCCTTCCTCCCACCTTGCATGAGGGATTCCCAAACAGGGAAGTGGCCAGAAAACAGGGAGTGGGAGAAAGGTGGAGGAGGAGGAGTTTGCAAGAAACCTGTTTCCTTCACTGATGGTTGCATCAGCCTCTGAATAGTTGAAGCTGGCTGCACATTGGTCATCAATTGCTAGGAGGGAGCAGCAAGTAAACATTGTTAAATATTTAGAAGGAGCAGCTACTAACGAGACTGCAGGAAGTGAGCAACTGGCTCATAAAGTAAATTGGACATAGGAAAGAATAATCTCAGAAATTAACACAAGCCTACAGGCTAAGGAAGAAGTAGGTCTGAGTGGGCCTGGAAATGAACATAAACACTATCGGCATAAAGCCTAGAGTTGGGAGAAATGGTAAGTGAACAATTTGTCACAGTCTGCTCAGGAAGAAAAGAACTTAGATCTGGGAAATCTACTTTCTCTGGTCAGGGACATCCCTGAGTCTCTGTTTTGTGGGGAAGGGGAGAGGGGCTAACCGTAGCACAGGAGTCTCTAGGTTACACAGGAGGCACGAGGTACAGGTCTGCTTCCTACTACACTGCTTGTCCTGCTCCCTTTCTTTTCCATCCCTTGTTCTTTCTAAGTTTCGTATTCATTTCCTTTCTTTTATTCTATGTCAGTGCTGCCAGTCCTATTAAAGACACACATCAATACCTGTGAATATTGCTTAACCCCACTTGTGTCATTGAGCCAAAAGGTTGCTGTCTATGCCTAGAGTATGAAAGACTTTCTTGAGCTGATTCCATTGACCAACAAGGAGCTTTCTGATCTCCATTTGTTTCTGATTCTCCATTTTCTCCAGAGAGAAAATATTTTCCAAAGAAAATTGGTCTGTAATGACCAACCATGCCATTCCACCCAGACTGCCTTTTCTTCTCCTATCAGTGTTGTCACTCACAGATTACCATACCTATCGCACTTATTGCTCTCTGTGTGTATCTTTGTGAGATCTCCTGTGTGGAATGAATGATTTCATTCTATTTCTCTGTTGGTCAAGGGTCGTTGCAAGCATGGATCCTTAAATAGCTTCTCCTCCTAACTTTGAGCTCTTCCCTTGTTGCCCACCCAAATATCCAATTTATTCAAGACAATCACTTTTCTGGTGCCACTTTACATTATTCTCAAATTATTTCTCACATGTATTTCTTACCTCCTCAAGAAGGTTGTGAACTCTTTGAAGGCAGAGTTGCCTTGGTCTGCTCTTGTTTCCCCTGTAGCATTGAGCACAGTGCTAGATACAGTGGGCACCCAGCAAAAAAGGAATTAAATTTCTTATTTCACATTACAAAATTGACTCTTTGGTTTACAAACCTGTCTCTCACAATTTGGGTCAATATGAGCTAATTTTCTTGGACTTTTCCTAGTCATGGCCAGCTTAGAAGGTAGATATCCCAAGACGCTAAAGAGGTTTAACAGAGTAGCTTATAGGGAACTACTGTGAAGTTTCAAACATCAGTCAGTTTCTGCCTATCATTTGCACAATTCTCTTGATTCAGAATAGAGATTCTGATTCATGGATTTCTACTTCTCCTCTCTGCTCAGCTTCTTCTTCCTCTCATCACCCTGCTGTTTTTTTCCCTTCTCAGGCTGTTCGGGGACCATGACTATCATCAGGATGGCTATGGTAAAGAAAGAGAAAATTATATAATGAGGGTCAGAGGTTCCTGATAATAATCTAGACTTTATGATGAACAGGTCCCAAACAGGTAACAGAAATGAAGATCAGGGGATGGTGGTACAGGCCTGTAATCCCAGCTACTTAGGAGTCTGAGGCGGGAGAATTGCTTGAGACCAGGAGTTTGAGGCTACAGTGAGCTATCATTGCTCCACTGCACTCCAGCCTGGGAAGGGAATGGGAGTTGAGGAAAAGAATAATGCATAATTTGGGTTAGTGAATGGTATTGGCTCCTGCAAATTGTTTTGTTGTAAGCACGAATGATGGCTCATGTGTTCTTTCCTATCTGTCTCTAGAATCACTGCTTAATTTATGATCCTCACCATCTCTTCATCTGAACTAATGACATCTTTTAACCAGTCTTATCCTTCTGAATCTTATCCAATAGTATGATGCAGCTGGCTCCCACCAGCTGGGGAGAGCTGGCTGTCTGCTTCTCTTCCTAACTCTATGTCCACAATGTCATATTAGTAGCTGGAAATTGGCCACAGTGGGAGTATTTACAGCACAGAAGTCAGCACACATCACAAATCAGGATCTTTTCCTCTGCCCCATGGAGAGCTGGTTGTTAAACATTGACTGGCACATTTACCACTGCCACTTTTGACACTGGCCAAACTAATGAACTATGCCACTCTCTTGACTAAAAACCCTTCAGTGACTCCCCATGACCAACAGATAGCATCCAAGTTCCTTAACATAACATACATGGCCTTTAATCATTTGGCCCCTGCCTAAAAGTTCAGTTTTCCATCTCATTTTAGTCCCATAACTTATGCGTTACCATAAAGGTCACAAACTGGCTTGCTCAAACCAAATTTGCCTCACATACGTATTTCGTTTGGCCTGCACACTCTTTAAAATTTTTGAGCCAACATTTAAAACATTAAGAGCTTCTATCCCCAAATCCATATTTCTGGTTTTTCTTCAAAAATTATGTTTTTCAAGGGGTGGGCCAAGGTGCCTGAGGAGATGAGGAGAGGGTGAAGTCCACAGCAAAGGTTGATCTTGGTTTGGAAGAAGGAAGGATGCCTTATCCTCAGGGACTGGAGGAAAATGTGAATTGAGTGGAGCTGTCAGTACATTTGTTGCTGGAGAGAAATGGAAATTGATGTACTTTACATCTAAAAATGCTGCTTTCTCATTGAAGTAGGATGTGAAATCAGATGCTATGAGTGAGGGAGGTCGAAGTTGGCAGAATGTGTGGGGAGAACTGACTATGAAAAAGTTGCTATGGGGAAAGTAAGAGGAAGCTGACGAAAGGAATGTAGA